ATACAGATGGGCTGCAACTGTAGGCAGTGCTGGCGGGCTGGGCGTGGCGGTGAAATGGTGATCTTAGGTGGCAGGAGGGTAATCCCAGCCAGAACAGCAAGACTGGCAGGGGGGGGGGACTCAGCAAGCCTAATGAATGGCTCCGCCCACAAAAAAACCTTCCCCAGCCGGAACAGCAGGACTGGCGGGAGGTTGACCATTAGCAAGCCTAATGAATGGCTCGTCCAGAAAAGCATCTGTTTGTGTCCTGTGCTGTTCTGAAAGGAGCAGCACGTGATCTTTCTCCTGCTCCTCTGAAGGCCCTGGGAGCTGCAGTCCCTTGGGAGTCCACCCACTCAGAGCGGCAGCACTAAGCCACATCGGGGGGCATCCGGGGTCTGGGGAACAGGAAGGAACTAGAGCTGTGCTACTGGATTCTTCAGCACAAAGTAGAAAGCACTCGGGGTCACCAGTCTGGCTGAACATCGCTAGCCCACCACTCTGCACGGAGTGAGCCTCAAGCTGGGGACAGACCGTTCCAATTGTAACCACTGCCCTGCTCCATGTGGAGGTCACCCCTCGGGGGGGGGAGGGATCGGTCTCCACGTTTAGTGCTTCATACTTCAGTGCTTGGTAATCCCTGCGTGGTGCGCCCAGCACCCTTTAGGTTATGTTCCAGGGTGTCTCCTTAGTGACAGAAACCCTCGGATTCGCAGGATTATCAGCTGTTTGAGACACCTTCCAATGGAGAGCTTTGGGCACATTTGCAACAGCTGGAAGAGGCAGTCAGTGCTGCAGCAGTGTTTGAGAGATGGCTGTTGCGTTGTGATTTGTTGTAGAACAAGTCAGCAGCCCGTGAACCCTTCCAGCCCCCTGGGACAGGTGAGTAAGTTTCAAAGCCCCAGTACCCTTGCCGCAGTGGTGAAGCGCTGGTTGCATTGGTTAGGTGTCCTTCGCTCATCTCTTCTCCAGGACTTGTGTTTGAGTCCTGTCATCATCTGGTATGAACCAATCTGGCCCAGCTTGCCGGGCTGCCATTTGGCCCCAGAAATGTTAGAGAGGTTCCCTCCCCCCATGAAGTTGCATCAGCGTGCAGCAGCATTGCTCCATCCCACAGCGACACAAGGCAGCATGTGCCAGCCTGGACTGACTTTGAGTGGTCCAGCCAGTCGAGCTCTGAATTATCCGGGAGTCAGGCTCGCAGGACACTGGCCAAACCATGCATATCAGACACGTACAACTTCAGCTAACAGATGGCCACGGAACAGCCCTTCGGAGCTTCATATTGAGTACTAAAGGCAAGGCCACCTGTTGTCATTGGATCTCTTGGCCAACAAGCAGCGTTGCCTTTGCCATTTCCGCCCTTTCACTGTGGCTCACGTGTCTGAGAAGTGCTGCCTTGGTCAGATTTGGCTTGCGAGCTGCTTTATGCTGAAAGGATCTGAACAGTGTGCCCTGCTCATCTCTGTGTGGTGACAAATGGCTGCACATTTAATAACGGTCCAGGAGAGAGTCCATTCCTCAAGCTGGGCCCAGCACATCTGTTTTCATGTGTAATACACAGTTTGCCTCTAAAAGCTGCGGTATGATTTATCGCTGGGTTGGCTACATGCGGGATGCACGCAGCAGGCAGGAGGGATGTCTTTACCGTCCGTTGCGTGTGCAAGATTCAGTTACGGTTCAGACAAGGCCTTTCGCTCATGCTGGGCAGCTGGGTGTGAGTTGAAGAGATCTAAACTGAGCTTTTCACAGCTCTGTGAGAAGTCATGTCATGGACCATTTGATTCCCCCACATTCCAGTCTTGGGTGTTAAGAGTGTAGAAAGCAAGGGTTTGATGGGCACGCAGTTCACAGATGCCAGCATTTGGCAAGTGGGAGCCCGTGGGTTAGATAATGGGAACCTTCCAAGCTGTAAGCAGCAGGCCTGAACTCCCTAATGTGAGTGATGCGTAAGATCCAGGATTCCACCAGCGGCCCTTTGAATGGGAAATGGGAAAAACATAACCTCAGCTTGCACTGTGCTTTCCACTGCGGAGCTGAGAGCCTTCTCCGGCTATAGATGACCAAATGTAGCCTGGCTGTGTGGGCTGCCTGCAGTCCAGCCAGAATGTTCCTGCTATCTCTTCCCATAAACACTGCAGCCTTTGTCTTCTGCCTTATCGTGCTTTTACCATAGCACAGAGCTGTTACTGTGTTCTCTCTGGAGCAAAGTCTCCTCTCTGTTTTAGGGGGTCTTTTCTTCAGGCCTCTCATTGTCCCCCCGTGTTTATTGTGCTCACTACAAGGCATTTATTTCAGAGAAAGGAAGAGATGCCTCTGTTTGTGGGGGTTTTATAAATATATTGCATTCTCCAGAGAACTGCTGAGCAAACAGCGGGTGGTCGTCATTAACTCTTCGGGGTCATGCAAGAGGCTTTCTCAGAGTGTGGAAAATTGATGAGAGAATTTGGAATTTGCCTGCTATGTAATGCAGCAGCTATGCAGGCCTGCAACATGACTGCTCCTAGGGTTGCCAGATGGTTTCAACAAAAATACCGGACACACTTGACATTACATCACAATCTTCATTACATCTTAGTTAGAAAATACCAGACAGTTATATTTTCTCAATTGGTTTTCCAAACAGAAACTCAAATACTAGACTGTCCGGTTCAATACTGGACACCTGGCAACCCTAACTGCTTCTGATCCAGATGCTTGCTCCTAGGGTTGCCAGATGGTTTCAACAAAAATACCGGACACACTTGACATTACATCACAATCTTCATTACATCTTAGTTAGAAAATACCAGACAGTTATATTTTCTCAATTGGTTTTCCAAACAGAAACTCAAATACTAGACTGTCCGGTTCAATACTGGACACCTGGCAACCCTAACTGCTTCTGATCCAGATGCT